GATACGAAAATTCAGTCCGTTGTCATCGGTCCGTTGTCGCTACTGTATTTATACATTACGAAGGACGATCTTATGTTGTTTTAGGTATTGTTAAGCATGCCATCAGAAAGAGGAATGTGACGGTATACATATTGTCGTCGGCGACAAAATGTACCTACCCTGACTGCACATATCGTCGTCCATCGGTACATATTGTCGCCGGCGACAATTTGTACCGAGACGAGCCTTTTCTTCCTCCTACGTAATGAAAGACAAAATGTACAGTCAAGCATGGGCACGTTTTGTCGTCGGCGACAATATGTACTGTGAACATTTGCACATTTTGTCGTCGATATTTACTAAGGCTGGCTGAAATTAATTCTACGTTCAACGTCACCTATAAACTTCAAAACCTACGAGGGCGGGAGGAAAAAACTAAACAAACAGAATTTTCAAACAAATGAGTCGTTACTCATCTACATGAATTAAAATACTGAAAGTATTTGTAATCATGTACAGACTCTTGGTTAAATAATCATTTTCAGTAAACCTGTATCTTTAAATGATAGACTGATTAGACTCAGCTCAAATATACCTCATAGAGGGCCCAAGTATTGTCTATCTCTATGGAATGTAGTTTTTAGGTGCTAAAAGTAAGAGCAAACCGGAACAGAAACATTAAAAAATGTGGATTAGTTTGTTTTTTCAAAGTGCCATTTTCTCTGAAACCTACACGCGCAGGTGACGTTAAACATAGAATTAACTTTGGACAGCCCAAGGTCGTGAAGAGAGACACAGAAAGAGAGAGAGAGAGAGATTGACACACATACACAGAGAGAGAGAGAGAGAGAGAGAGAGAGACAGGCAGACAGACAGAAGGATAGACAAAGTGTTTGGCTGATAAATAAGTAAACAAGTTGTATGTATTTAGCATTACTTGCAATACTGTAGGGAGAAATGGTGTTGCTCAGAAAATTGTGTCCAGCATTGGTTTACTTGACTATGATATGTTAAAATACCGTACGTAGTTCTTGAGATATCTGAAAAATCAGTCTATTCTTTTTTCTCATTATATATACATGGATATAAGACTGAAAGTTATTTGTTCAGTAGCAATTTTATCTGGAATTCATTTTTTTTGCTTAATTCTCATACGAGTGCCGATATAATTGGTGTAGGGGTTGACATTTTTAGCTCACCTGAGCTGATAGCTCTAGTGAGCTTTTCTGATCACATTTTTGTGTCGTCCGTCTGTCTGTCGGTAAACTTTTCACATTTTCAACTTCTTCTCAGGAACTACTGGCCAATTTCAATTTCAACCAAACTTGCCAGAAAGCAAACGAGGATAAAGGGAGTCAAGTTTGTTCAAATTAATGGTCATGCCCTCTTTCAAGGAAGTATAGTTAAGAGTTAGTGTAAATTTAGTGACATCTTTAAATAATCTTCTCAAGTATCATTGTGTCAGAAAAGTTGAAACTTATATGAAAGCTTTATTATAAAGTGTAGATTCATTTTTATTCAAATCATATCTGGGGAAGGGTGGGGCTACAATAGGTGATCAAAGTTTAAATAGAATATTTAAGAATAACTCTCAAAATTTTCTTCTCAAGAACTTCTGGATCAGAAGAAATGATACTTATGTGAAAGTACATAGTGTACTTTTAATTTTGTAGATTCTGGCACGAAAAAGATCCCACACTTCTTAATGGCCCTGAGTTCCGAGAATAGGTCTAATTTTTTTGGCCCTCCACCGGCAAGTGGTGATGTCTCCTCATGAGTGAAAAATTTTCTAGAGGGATATTAAAACAACAAACAAACAAACAAAAACAAATTCAATTTTGTTCAAATCATGACCCTCATGGGTAGGGTGGAACCATATTTGGTGATAAAAGTTTTACGTTGGAATATACGGTATACAGAAATTCTTTAAAAATCTGCTCAATAACCAAAGGCGGATCTAGCACTGGCGCATACTAGCTACGATGCAGGTTCCTCAGAGAAAATGAATTGAAAATAAAAACATCGTAGAATAGTTACCACGTTCGTGTGATCTGCTTTAAGACGACCCCTAGATTCAATATTATCTGTAATCTGATTTGTATTCTTTTAAAATTAAGCATATATTTGATCATTTCTGTTGCATGTTATTGATTTACTTGCATGTTAAGAAAAATGACACAGGACCAGATAAACTTAACATGTACTGACAACGGACTTTTTGCTTATGAATTGCGATTTCTTAAAACATGTTAGCTACAAAAGGCTTTCAGTTGCCTAATACATTTTAAATGAAGTTTCTCTTCATATTTTAAAATAAAAGTACCATTTCGATGAAGTAAATATAAGAAATATATAATTTTCCAGCTCACGATCATGCTCTCGATCACACATGGGCATGTGATCGCCAACCAAAACTCCTCAAAATGTATTAAGGATATCAAATACATAAATCTTTGTATGGAATACTGAATGTTGTATCTGTTTCCCAAAATTCAAATTTATTCGTAGAATTTGTCAAAAACGTTAAATTTTAGGCATTATGTATAAATTTTTGTATCTTTTGCATGACACCGGACGGATTTTATCATAACCTCACCTGTATGTTCATGACAACGAACCACTTTCAATGCTTAACTTTAAAGGTTTCTGACAACGGTACTGTCTAGGAACTTAACGTGTTCCTGGCCGTGACTTGGGGGTAGCCAATCCTTATCTGCAACTCCTCTAATTAAGACCACTGAATGCAATTTAATGAAACCTTCACCATATCTTTATAACAGTGTAATGTACACCTCAGTTTTTACGTTTCGATCGGACAGGTATTTGGGGTTCTCCATAGCAAAATATGGATACTGCCATTCTTTCTAAAATATTGGGGGTATACCCATGCATCTCTTACCCGCAACTCCTCCTATATCACTGAATAAAATTAATGAGACTTTCACAGAATCTTCATTACATGGTGCCATTGTGCACCTCCTATTTTACGTTCTGATTGGACAGACACTTGAGGTTGGTATTTGCCATTATAATCATGTGGGAGCGATGGGTGGGTGGGTATCATTTTGTGAGCTCAGTGTTCACGGTACCCATCTTGACGAACGCACAGACATTTCCCCAAGAGTCGCCTGTGTCGGGTATCTTTTTCTTAATACTCATGAAGAAATTAGGTCTATTTATATGAATACTGGCAGTTTCTATCCAGTCTTCCATCACAAGCAAGTGAGTACAAGGAACGAGAACTATTGGTAGAGATTTGTGTGACATGTATGAAATAAAAGAGCATTGGATTTGACTTTTTAGCTCTTCTGAGCCAAAGACTCAAAGAGCTAATGCTACCATTTGTGCGGTATGCGTAAACTTTTTCGAATATGGGCCATAACTCAAGAACCCCTTGACCAATTATTGTCAAATTGTCACAGGGTATCCTTGGCCCAAGAGCTCCCGTTTATACTAAAACTAGGGTTGTGACCCTTAAACAAGGGGAGATAATTAGGAAAATGGAAACAAAAGTACTAGTTGCTAAAAAATCTTCTTCTCAAGAACCACTGGGCAGATTATCACCAAACTTACACAAAAGGATGAGAATATGTTGTAGATTAAAATTTGCACGGAGATTTACTCTAGGGCAAAGGGAGTGGTCTCAAGGTCACTTCAAAGTTGACCAAAAATTACATTTTATTAAAATGTTGATATTTTGCTTACTATAAGGACTAGGATCATCAAATCTTGTCAGCTGATGCATCTAACGACCTCATATTATGTTGACTCAAAAGTATGTCACGGTGACCTTCTTTCAAAATGATTTAGAAGCATATTTTGAACAATTTAAGGCCAATGATCATCGAACTTTGTCAGGTGATGTATCTTGGGTCCTCGGAGTACATCGACTAAAAAGTAGGTCACCATGACCTACTTTTTTGAATTTTATGGCTAATCTTTTTCAAAACAATTAAGGTCATGAACTTGAATACTGAGAGGTTTAGAATCATTAAATTAAATCTTGTAAGATGATGCATCTTGGGGCCATAAAACATATTTATTAAAAAGTAGGTCACAGTGACCTACTTTTTGAACTTTGCAGGCATTCGATTTCAAAGCATTTTAGAGGCAAAGTTTGGGCATTTTAAGGCCTAAGATCATAAACTTTGTAATTTGATGCATCTTGTGTCCTCAAAAAAACGTCAACTGAAAAGTAATGACCTACCTTTGGAATTTCAAGGGTGTATCTAAATATACAGAATACTTAGAGGCTTCAAATAGAAGTGATATGTTGTGCAGTTTATATCAGAAGAACGATTCAAGGCCCTTGGGCCTGTTGTTATTGTGATGACTCACAGACCCGGTTGAATAAACCATGAAGGGGGGGGGGGTCTAACAGACAATTTTGGCGAGTCCAAAAAAAGGTCGTCACGCTATTTTTCAGGGAGCACATCGTTTCGTAAATAACCTTTATTTTCTAATGTAGAGTATATGCACTGGCAAAATGATTCAGTTGCAAGGGGCAACACCTGTTAATAAGTTTTGTTTTCCATAGTAAAGGATGTACTGGCAAATTTATTGGGTGGGCACCCCACCCCCTCCCCACCGGTTCGTAACTTTTTACTGATCTGACTCGAAGATCAAGGAGACCTTAATAGAAAATTAAAGCCATTGGAAAAATTTCTGTGGATTTTTTTCCAGTGTATGCTTTTAGGCTGAACTCATTAACGCTAATAGTGCGAGGCAAATAATACACGCCCGTAGCAACGGTATCAAAAGTGGGGGAGGCAACTTCACAAAAAAATCTAACAAGCAAAAAAAATATTATAATTATTGAAAAAAAATATGAATAAACCCTATTTTTCCGTACAAATCCTGGAATTTGTTACCCCCCCCCCTCCGCGTTCTTCGGGCCTGTGATATCAGCAGTTTTGAAGGAAAGATCAAAAACTCCCTTGATCAAAAGAAATCCGGAAAAGATACATGTTACCTTGTACTCCTAGAGGTTTTCGACTTTATTTTTCAATTAATTGTATTTCCGGTGTTTTCTCGGATCTGCGAAATCAGGAAATGTTATCAAACGAAGGTATTTTCGTTTAAATTGAACCAATAATATTTCAGTATTCAGGCCGTAGAGAAAATTGATTTTAAAAATAGTAAATGAACTTTGAAACGTCAGATATTTACAGGCATGTTAAACATGTTAAATATTCTTACATTTATCAGGTCATACATGTAGATTCGCTTGACAACTAGATTTGTGAATGTTACATTTATTTTTTAACGGAATTTTAACAGAGGTGAGACATCAAACGACTTTGATTTTATAATCATATGTAATAGGGAATCAACTCGTAAATAGGAATCAGGTTACAAGTATACATCCACCTGTTTGATATGACTTGACATTTTGGTATGAAAAGCTGATGAGTTCACTTGAAACTATCAATTTTATTAATAATGACCTACTGTATATATTTCCATGTTTTAGTTCTATATCAAAAGGGAGATTTTTTAGAAATTAATTTTTCTATATTAAACAAAAAGAGTCGGAAATCTGTAGCAGGGTTGGGGGTTGGAATTGAGAACATAATGCTTCCTTACATTTCTATGTCACTTTCAAATGATCTGTCATTTAAGGAAAGAGAAGAGAAAGAAAGAAAAGAAAACTAGTATAAACTTCAATGTTTTGTTATCAAATTAACAGTTTATATATCTGACCCAGTTTGTGATAAATTTTATACTTACAGTGATCAGAGTGGATCCTTTTTTTGCTCACCTGAGCTGAAGGCTCAAGTGAGCTTTTCTGATCAAAATTTGTCCGTTGTCTGTCGTCGGCGTTGGCGTCGTCGGCGTCGTTGTTGTCGTAAACTTTTCACATTTTCATCTTCTTCTCCAGAACTACTGGGCCAATTTCAATCAAACTTGGCACAAAGTATCCTTGGGTGAAGGGGTTTCAAGTTTGTTCAAATGAAGGGCCACGCCCTCCTCCAAGGGGAGATAATTACGAAATAGCAAAAAATTAATGGCATTATTGAAAAATCTTCTTCTCAAGAACCAGTGGGCCAGGAAAGATGAAACTCATGTGGAATTATTGTCAGGTAGTGTAGATTCAAGTTTGTTCAAATCATGACCCCCGGGGATAGGGTGGGGCCACAATGGACGATCAAAGTTTTACATAGGAATATATAGGAAAAATCTTTAAAAATCTTCTTCTCAAGAACAGCAAAGCTATGATTGGTCATATTTATTTGAAAGCATCCTCAGGTGGTGTAGATTCAAGTTTGTACAAATCATGACCCCCGGGGGTAGGGTGGGGCCACATTGGACGATCAAAGTTTTACATAGGAATGTATAGGAAAAATCTTCAAAAATCATCTTCTCAAGAACAGCAAAGCTATGATTGGTCATATTTATTTGGAAGCATCCTCAGGTGGTGTAGATTCAAGATTGTACAAATCATGACCCCCGGGGGTAGGGTGGGGCCACATTGGACGATCAAAGTTTTACATAGGAATATATAGGAAAAATCTTCAAAAATCTTCTTCTCAAGAACAGAAAAGCTATGATTAGTCATATTTATGTGGAAGCATCCTCAGGTGGTGTAGATTCAAGATTGTACAAATCATGACCCCCGGGGGTAGGGTGGGGCCACATTGGACGATCAAAGTTTTACATAGGAATATATAGGAAAAATCTTCAAAAATCTTCTTCTCAAGAACAGAAAAGCTATGATTAGTCATATTTATGTGGAAGCATCCTCAGGTGGTGTAGATTCAAGTTTGTTCAAATCATGACCCCCGGGGATAGGGTGGGGCCACAATGGACGATCAAAGTTTTACATAGGAATATATAGGAAAAATCTTTAAAAATCTTCTTCTCAAGAACAGCAAAGCTATGATTGGTCATATTTATGTGGAAGCATCCTCAGGTGGTGTAGATTCAAGTTTGTTCAAATTATGACCCCTGGGGGTAGGGTGGGGCCACAATGGACGATCAAAGTTTTACATAGGAATATATAGGAAAAATCTTTAAAAATCTCAAGAACAGCAAAGCCACGGTTTGTCATATTTATACGGAAGCATCCTCAGATAGTGTAGATTCAAGTTTGTTCAAATCATGACGACCACCCCCCATCCCCCCCCCCCCCACTCCATTTTTAGGGTAGGTTGGGACCACTTATGCATTTAACCTTTTCAATACTAAACTGATTTTTCCTTTTTTCCTAGCCACAGTGCTCAGGTGAGCGATGTGGCCCTTGGGCCTCTTGTTAAATTTATAATTTGATAACACTTAAAATAGACCCCTTAGTCACAGTCACACCAAACTTATTACATAATATACTTCAGTTGATAAATAGCAAGGATAGAGTAATTATAATCAGTAATTGTAATCAGCTGTAATCAATTACAGTGTGCTGTGTAATCATGAGAAGTCGGTGATCATGCATTTTTCGTATTACAAGTAATTGAATCGATTACTCTGGAAAAAAAAGTCTTGTAATCATTACTCTTTTATTACAATGGTGAAAAAGAAGTGCATAAATCATGGTCTTTGATGATATTCAGTAAATATTTCAGGGTTCGACACTAACGTTAGTCCGTTACTCTCAGACTAATACATTTTCATTCGGACTAATAAAATATGTGGCTAATTAGTCTGAACGGACCAATAAAAATTTCTGAAAAACAATATGAATAAATTACCGATGTCAGATTCTCGACAACTTTTACTGGAAAACCCCGCGTGTATTTTTAGATTTCTAGCTTTTGGCGGGTAGTTACGCAATGCCGGGTCAATCATTCAGCGCTTAATTTTTTGACTGATCGATATGAAGTATAAGGTTTTAGCGATTATGATTTAGTATGACACTTTTAAGAAAGATTTTGGACGTTTAGGATGTAATGTAAAGACAAAAAAAGAAAAAAAAAAACGAGATCGGGAATACAATCATACTTGCTGATTGCGAGATTTCAATGAATCTGTGGAATAATATATTTCACGTACAAATACTTTGCTTATTTCAAAAAATAATACGTATATTAATTGTCAAGTTTAATTAATATTAAAAAACATTGATGTTTCTTTTTTTTTTTGACGGACTAATAAAATCGCATGCGGACTAGTAAAAGTAATGAAGCACTAGTCCGGCTGGACTAAAGCCTTAAAAAGTTAGTGTCGAACCCTGTATTTCTCAATCTGCAATTTTGTTTATATTAAGTAAAAATTATAAAAATTGTAGGCTATATATAGCTATATCTTCTTCTATTGCCTTCAGGATTTTTTATAATCAGGTCCATTGACCCTGCAGTGAGTAAATCCTCTCATACTAACTATACTCAATGGACAGCCATTTTCAAAATGCTTTAGCAGCTTAGCAATTCGTCTAGTATGGCTAGATGTGCACAGTGAAACACGCTTATAACAAAATGCCAGGGATGGACAATTTTGCTTTATGTAATTTGTTATATCTGTTAAGTTCACAATACATTTTAAAGCCATTAAGGGGAATGAAAACCACTTTGCTGTAAGTGTTAATTCATTATAAGTATGTTCATTATAAGTGTGTTTTACTGTACTATACTGAAGAAAATTACTGCGATGTCATTTTAAAGTTTAACTTTTTCTTTCAACATTTATGATATGCCATTTTGTTTTCCCACATTTGAATTTTTTTATCAAATGTACTTTAATGATATGTATTTCTAAAAATCACAACTTGTTTGATATATGAAAAATACATGAATTAGCAGTAAAATACAGGTGAACTTTAGTTGGATCAGCTTGGATAATAACAACAATAATCTAACAATGCTTGTCTAGTCAAAATGTTAATTCCAGTAAAAACATCTAACGTAATTATTTTGCATTGGCAGTTTAAATGAAAGGTTCATCAGTTATATTATCATGGTCAAGTTCTTGTATATTATGAGTATTGATTTTGAAATATAACGCCTGTAAAAAAAAATGTTTGTTTTTTTTCCCCCCATTAAACGAATAATAAGAAAAAAGCGTTTTTGAACATTAATGTAATCTAGAGTAATCAAAAGTAATCATTACATTCACAAGTAATCATGATTAGATGAGGAAAAAAGTAGTAAGATGTCATCAATTACTTTCAAATATGGATGTAATAAGCTTGTAAACAATTACTTTCAAAATCAAAAGTAGTGTGTAATTTAAGGACCCTCTCTACACTGCACACTAATATCAGGGTACTTTTATGTACTTGAATGCTCCACTATTTGATATAAAATAGAATGATTTGTAATCTCCACAGTATTACATTATTTTTAATTAATTCAAGTATTCTAAACATTATATTAAACCAAGATAGAGTAATTGAAAACTTTATTTGCATATATTTTCCCCATTTGAGTAAGCAAGCATGATTTTTCTTTATCAGTACTTTATTGTCTTTGAAGATTTTTCCTGGATAAAATAGGCATACACCCCTTGTTAAAAAATTCGTAGTTCCAATAATTTTTAGATAAAATAAGTTTTTAATTATGTTTTTTTGTGAAATGCTATTGCAATATATAAGTCGTGATATTATACAGAAAATTTGAGAAAATATTAAGTTCAAATCTGTGTCTAAGACCTTTAATGCTATATAATTTTCTTAAAGTCCAAAAAACATTTTTCTTCACTCTATTGAGGATCCTTAATCAATTACTTTTAAAAGTAATCGACCCCATCCCTGATATTATAAACAGGAAATCTTTTAGAATTAACCTATTAATTTTTTTAAGTTAAGTTTCAATCCTAGCTGATAAATCAAATTGTTTTATTTGTACATCTTGCACATGCAGTACAAATAATTTTTATCATATATTCCAGATGCATCGAAACAAGGAGCACCTCCATCATATGAAGAGGCAACATCTAACAACCCATCTACTGGAGGACCTCAACCTCTACAGGGTTACACTCCAGTTCAGGGTGGGTTTAGTGGACCCCCTCCTGGAGTGCCACCTTACCCAGGGAATTCTGATGGAGTAGGAGGATTCACCTATCCACAGTATCCTTCATATCCAGCCAACTATCCTGCTAACCAGTATCCTCCCCCTACAGGATATCCAGTCACCAACCCTTCAGGAGCTTACCCAGGTTCAATTTTCTGAGAAATGATGTCAGATTCAGTAAAATATTTTCTAAATAGACAAGGCTGTAATGAAAGAAAAAAAATTATGAAAGAAAAATTCATTCAACAATATGCACAAAATGATTTAATGGGAATCTTTTGAATTATATTATTTGTAGCAACTTTGCACTCCCAAGATAGAGGATGTAGATATCAGAAAATAACATTATCCTTTTTTAGAAAGAATTTAAAGTGGATAATACCTTTACCATTCTAGCAAAATATTCAACTCCTCAATTTTTTGTTCACCTAAATATTCTCTAATCTTGATGTCTACTTTTGCCAAATTTTAACATTGATGCTCACTGTTTAAAATTATACCGTATTTTCATGGTAAGATGTCATTCATTGCTAGGTCAGACGTGTGGGGGGCAGTATGGACAATACAGACAAACACCACAGTGTGCTGTAGATATGGATGTAAGTTAACTACAATGGACAGGATTTCATCGAACCATTTTATGCTACTGTTTTACTAATTACTTACTACATTGTATTTTTATTAAACCAACATTTCCATTTGGTATTTAATCTACAATAGAATTTCCTGAAGTAGACATGCAGGACTGTTTGCTAGTAGAATTTAATTGCCCTGCCAAAAATCTAGACTATTGAGAAAATAATTTCCTTTTTAAAAATTATTTTTATAATTTGGATCCCAATTATATAGACCAGTGAGTTCTGCCCCTTGATTTAATTTTGCTACCTATACTATTAGTTGACATGAGACAGATTTTTCAATCTCAATTTTAATTGGTGGAAATTATAACTAGTCCAGCCAGGCATTGATAGTGGCAAAATTGTTTACCTGCAGCAAAATTTATTCATCTTGGGCGGTTGGTTGCATGGTTATTTCAACCCCTCTAATGAAAAGAAGAATTATTACCAGTAAAATTCTTTCCAGATTTCAAACCCAAAACAAAGCAAATATAAGATGTAAGATTTACAGAAAATTCTAAACCCTCAGAAATTCCATAATTTTTAGAAAATAAAATTTAGCAAATGGTTTACATTGTGATCATTGTTAAGCTTTTATTTTATCAGCAACACTAGTTAAGTAGGAGAATTATTTCTCCTTTTGAGTGGAGCTTATTTGTTTTTTCCAGAGACGGATAAGAAGAAGGAAGATTATCTTTATGACCATCTTCATATTTATAATGCTACTGGTGATATTTGCAGTGACTAGATGGTTTCTAACCTAAGACCAATTTATGGCAGGTAAATACTTGTATATATGGATTTAATAGCATATTTAAATTTGTCACATCATTAGGTCATGTACTTTAATATGACTTAGATTTGTCTGCATTTTCATTCATACTCTACATGTGAATGTATATTTATAGTGGTGATAATAAATTGGTGCACTGTAAATAGTCTGTTTGACGCTAAAATATAAATACACTAGAGTCAATTGTTTTCCTTTCTGTAAACAGTTTTTCAAATGCATCCCCTACAGATTTGGTAGAATGAAAAAAACTTCTTTCACAAGTGTAGTACTGTACCTGCCACATCAAAATAAATGCACATAATTCTGTAAACCAGTACCGGTATTTGATTTTGTTAAAATGTGTTGTGACAGATATCATTTGTATGATCAATGAAATTTTCCTTTTTTCAAATGCACACAGTTTCCTGCTGAATCCATATCAAATCTGCCCATATGTGCTTTTAAGGAAAATTTGGTACAAGTTAAGAATTAGAATACATGTATACATGTATCAAGTTACATAACTCTGTAAACATGTAAAATAAAAAAATAATCCCAGATCCAACAGCATGTTTCCTGTTATACTACCTATAAGTTCAAACCAGTAGAGCTATGTATAGTTTCATCAAAGACTTCTAGTTGAAAAAAGCCCTCAGCATTCAAACATATATCATCTTGCATATTTAAAGCTACCTTGGTATAAATTGCACATTTTTTGTAGGAGCTCAAGACAAGATGGAAATATAGTCAAAGGAAGTGTAATATGTAAAAGATCTGAGTAGAATGTTCTGTGAAGACATGTTCTAAAATCTAATATTTTGTAATTCTAATTTAACTAACTTAAAATGGACTTTTCTGAATTTTATTGATCTGAATTTAATTTATATTGGATAGAAATGAAAATATTTTATTATGTTTCTTGGATAAATATGATACAAGTTAAAAATAGACTCAGTCTTGTTCATCCTCGCAAGCCAGGGGTCCTGAGTCAACACGTTGGACCCCTGGCATATTTCATTCAATATTCGTGGGCTTGCTTCTCTCATTGAGAAGCACCAATCAAATTAAAGTTTTCATAAATAGTTAGATAAGGATTCAATTGACACCTCAAATGCACATGTGACAAGTTGTTTATCATAGAATGGCTTAATGTGATTGGTTGAGAGATAAGAAAAACAATCAAGATTTGTAATTTTTCCGAAAGATGTCGCTACGGTCAGCCCACAAATATTGAATGAAATATGCCAGGGGTCCAACAGCAACGTGTTGACTCAGGACCTCTGGCTTGTGAGGATGAGTCTTGTTAGATTGTTGAATTCTGTAGCTTGACCAAACTGAACAGTTAACTCAGTCCTATAGTGTTGCATGTATTTGAAAGTCATTTTTGAAAGTCATTTGTTAGGTCTGCATTACATCAGTCTTTCATAGCTTTATTATATTATGCAGAGCAAGCATTACAATACATGGGCTTAATTTACCAATGAATTCAAAAATATTTCAAACACTGAATATAGTCTACATTGTAAGACATTGATAGCAACAACAAAAAATCAAGTATTGTTGGTGGAAACACATGCATGTACGGTAATAATGTGCCTCTTCCTATCTATCCTTCATGATTTTCTCACAGAGATTTGGGTATAATTGGTGTATGTTATTGTCATTATATGTTATTTCATATTACAAAGTAAAGTGTTTCTTAAAAATATGCAACAAATGGCCTATTTCATGTGATTCAACTTCAAACATGTCCATTATCCCCCCTTTCCCCTTTATGTTTTTCTTGTTTTAGATTGTAAATTATTTTCACAAAAGTGATTTTATTTTAATTTTGAATATTTTTATATCTATAATGTACACAAATGGGCAATTGTATTTACACTATATTTAAGTTTTTGCTTTATAAATATGTATATATATTTGATTGGATTGTGAAACAAACAGACTATGTTTATAAACTGTAATGTCCTTCTGTCAAACACTTTACACTTTTTCTGCTGTGGATGACCAGTTATGATTAGAATCTAATTTTATAATTATCTGTGCATTCATCAGATAAAACTTGACCCTGACCTTTGGCCTCTATTTATTGCTTCACTTTTTTAGTCAATTTTTCTTTGGCAACTGTAATTGAATTTTATAACATTTTCTTTTTTTTTCAAAATAACATGGATCAGTTAAGTACTATATTATAAATCACAGCACAAGTCAATGCTTATAAAAGAGAGAAATAGATGAACTCTGGGTTTGATTATTTTAAAACTGGAAGATTTAAACAAAAATAAGATGAATTACTATATGTATATATAACTTTAAAGAACATATAGTCAAACATTTTTATCTCGAACCAAGTGTGGGTAGGGAAAAACTTCAAAATTTCCAAGAATGCTATTTGAAATATTGATGTTTTAGACACCAATGTTCTTCTGTATTACATGTATATATAATATCAGCCATTTTGAATAATTATACAATAAAACTTTTCTAATCTGGATGTGAGTATTCCAAAATCTTGCCAAATATGATGTATACTTAGTCCCCTTCAGTAAATTCAGTTGTTTGAAATATTGTCCAATCTGGAATGTTGTCAAATCTGGCCAATTTCTATGGAATCAGTGATGTCTGTATTAGACAAGTTTTACCGTATAATTTCTATGGAATCAGTGATGTCTGTATTAGACAAGTTTTACCGTATAATTTTATTTGCACTTTTTTATTTAATGAAATTGCAGAAACTATTTTAAAAGTTTTTAAAATCATAAGCAGAATTTAATAAAACTGAAATTTCATACCGTGTACTCAAATAAACATTGTTATTCAGAAGTTTGTATGAAATCATATTGATTAAGTTTTGAAATCATATTACATCAAATTTTATTATGGTTGCTTTATTTAATGACATAATGTGATATTATTTGAATGACTTCTTGTTTTTTTTTTTTAACTACATGTATTGCTTTTTTCAAATCAAAATTAGTTCGTGTTACATACACGTATAAGTTGTAGTGAACTTCTTCTTTCTTTTTTTGTTTGATTCATTCTTTTTAACAAATGTGTAAATATGAAAAAATATTTATCTACTGATTTTATTCAGATATTTACAAATTTTAAAAAATTACACCCAGGTATAAATGGGAAAATAGAATAAAATTGAATGCATATTAAAGAGTTCTTGACTTTTTTTTTGTTATGCCCCCGTCATAGAATGACCAGGGGCATATAGTGTTATCCTGGTCCGTCATTGTCATTATGTTATTTCGTCATCAATAACTTTCCGTTCATCATTTCGACAACAGTTGCACACATTCAACCCAAATTTGACATATGGATACATCATAGGAATACGCAGGTCAAGTTCGAATGTGGTCTTGGTCCGGTCTCTAACTTTTGTAGGGATGTATGTGTATAAGGTTGAAATCGCAATGTGCAGGTATTTTACCAGAAAATACAGGTCAAGTTTGAATTTGGTCGTGGTCCGATTATTTTTGAAAGAGTTATCTCTCTAAGAAATTTTAGGGATATATGTATAAGGTTAGAATTGCATATGCAGGTATTTTAGGTTAATATTGTATAGTTTTTATCTTAAAGTAGTTATGCCCCTTGAACTTAGAAAACCAATCTTTTGTGCAAACAAATTCATCTAGTTTATTTAATAACTCGGCATATAATTAAAGCAAAGGCATATATCCTAAGATTTATTTAGTTAGACGATTGTAGACCGAAGCATGTGAACAGATGAAACAGATATTTCTGGTTCTACCCAGACAAACTTTAACCAGGGAAAGGTTTATGTTTCATGTGAAAAAGATCCAGGGTAAAACAACGTTCTTTGTATGAATGCATAATAATAGTATACAATTATTACTGTTCTGAATTCAATACAATGATTTAGCCACCTGAGAAGTACATTATTCAAGGTCATGACATCTTCATGTCATGAACAATCTTTGTACCAAGTATGAACTTCCAGTGATTCTCCATTACAAAGTTATAGCCCGGGCAAGAATTTTACACTGATTCTGCCAGTGATCTTGAACTTGCCAGAATGACCTTGGTTAAGGTCATGGCACACCCTCAGGTCATAAACAGTCTTTGTACCAAGAATGAGCTTCCAATGGTTCGCCATTAACAAAGTTATTGCACACACGAGTTTTTTTAAAAATACTTTTTTCTACCAATGACCTTGAACTTGCCGGAATGACCTATTTTCAAAGTCCACATACCCTCGAGTCATAAACAATCTTTGTACCAAGTATGAGCTTCCAATGGTTATCCGTGACAAAGTTATTGCCCGGACAAGATTGCACAGACAGGCGGACGGGCTGACAAGGTGATTCCTGTATACCCCCCCCCCCCAACTTTGTTTGCAGAGGGTGTAATAATGGCCTAACAATTTGTATGAAATACGACAGTCAACATCTTACCCAACGACAAATTGTATTTGCAAACACGGTCATTCTATTGACTATAGAATTTGCGAAATGTTGACTACACGGTTGATTCATCTATATGCTCTGAATCAAATAGGATTTCAAATGAAGTCACTGTAATCAACAGATGTTTCAGGTCAAAAATTCGTTTCTGTTTTTAGGTCACCTGAGTCACTCAGGTGACCTATTGCTATCCGTTTTTGTCCGTCGGCGTGCGTCGTGCGATGTGCGTTAACATTTGAACATTTTTAGCTTCTTCTCTGAAACCGCTCAACCAATTTCAACTAAATTTGGCATATAGCATCTATGGGTGAAGGGGAACAAAAACTGTGAATTTCATGGTCCCTGCCCCCCTGGGGCCTGAGGGGTGGGGCTAAAACCACCAAAATTAATGCAATCTTTAAAAATCTTCTTCTTTACTCCTGGACATCAAACAGTCAAACTGTTGGCATCATTGTGATAAGCATTGAGTCCTCTACCAAAATTGTGAAATTCATGGCCCCAGGGTCAGGGGTTCTGGTGCTAGGGCGGGGCTATATAGATCATATAGTGAAAGTGCATTATTTCTTTGAAAATCTTCTTCTCTGCTCCTGGGTATTAAATAAACTAACTAAGTATATAGTTATGATGAGTAAGAGTGACTCTTCCAAAATTGTGAAATTCATGGCCCCAGGGGCAGGGGTTCTGGTGTTAGGGCGGGGCTCTATTGATTATATAGTGAAAATGCATTAGTTCTTTGGAAATCTTCTTCTCTGCTCCTGGGTATTAAATAAACTAACTAAGTATACAGTTATAATGAGTAAGAGTGCCTCTTTCAAAATTGTGAAATTCATGGCCCCAGGGGCAGGGGTTCTGGTGTTAGGGCGGGGCTCTATTGATTATATAGTGAAAATGCATTAATTCATTGAAAATCTTCTTCTCTGCTCCTGGGTATTAAATAAACTAACTAAGTATATAGTAATGATGAGTAAGAGTACCTCTACCAAAATTGTGAAATTCATGGCCCCTGGGTCAGGGGTTCTGATGTTAGGGTGGGGCTCTATTGATTATATAGTGAAAAAGCATTAATTCATTTAAAATCTTCTTCTCTGATCCTGGGTATTAAATAAACTAACTAAGTATACAGTTATAATGAGTAAGAGTGCCTCTTTCAAAATTGTAAAATTCATGGCCCCAGGGGCAGGGGTTCTGGTGTTAGGGCGGGGCTCTATTGATTATATAGTGAAAATGCATTAATTCATTGAAAATCTTCTTCTCTGCTCCTGGGTATTAAATAAACTAACTAAGTATATAGTAATGATGAGTAAGAGTACCTCTACCAAAATTGTGAAATTCATGGCCCCTGGGTCAGGGGTTCTGGTGTTAGGGTGGGGCTCTATTGATTATATAGTGAAAATGCATTAATCCTTTGAAAATCTTCTTCTCTGCTCCTGGGTATTAAATTCAGTAACTAAGTACATAGTTATGATGAGCAAGAGTGCCTCTTTCAAAATTGTGAATTTCATGGCCCCTGGGTCAGGGGTTCTGGTCTTAGGGTGGGGCTCTATTGATTATATAGTGAAAATGCATTAATCCTTTGAAAATCTTCTTCTCTACTCCTGGGTATTATTGAAACACATTAAATACAGAGTTATGATAATCAAGGATGCCTCTTTCAAAATTGTGAAATTCGTGGCCCCTGGATCAGGGGTTCTGGTGTTAGGGTGGGGCTCTATTGATTATTATAAAGTGAAAATGTTTTAATTCTTTAAAAATCTTTTTCTCTGCACCTGGGTATTATTTAAACAAACTAAGTACATTGTTATGATAATCAAGGATGCCTCTTCCAAAATTGTGAAATTCATGGCCCCGGGGACAGGAGTTCTGGTGCTAGGGCAGGGCTATATAGATCCTATAGTGAAGGTGAATTATTTCTTTGAAAATCTTCTTCTCTGCCCCTGGGTATTGCTTAAACAGGCTACAGTACATTGTTATGATACACAAGGATGCCTCTTCCAAAATTGTGAATTTTATGACCCCAGGTATAAGGGTTCTGGTGAAGAGGGGGGGGGGGGGGGCTTCTATTGATTATAAAGTGAAAAAGCAAAATTTCTTTGAAAATATTCTTTTCTTCTTCTGGTTAAAAAAGCAAAGAAGCTAAGTGTATAGTTATGATGAGCAAGTGTGCTTCTTCCAGAGTAGTGAATTTCATGACCCCTAGGTCAGATATGCTGGTGTGAGGGTGGGGCTCTTGATAATTTAGTGAAAATGCATTAATTCTATTAAATAATCCTGTTTGCTCCTTAGTGTTAAGCAGATAAACAAAGTGATGATGAGCAAACATATGGTCCCAGGGTCAGAAGCTCTGGTGTTTTGGGGGTGGGGGGGGGGGCTCTATTGATAATATAGTGAATCTGTAGTAAAAATGCATTATTTATTTAAAAATCTTCTCCGCACCTGGGCATATCTGAGGCAAACAGAGTAAAAGTTTTTATAGGGAAGGGAATTTTTACCAGATTTTTGAACATCTGGACCATTTGGTCAAGTGTTCTGGTCCTGGCCAGGGCTCTATTAGTTTGTATTCTACTGAGAGGAGTTATTCCCCTTTGCCATTTACTTTTGATAATTCATCACTGTAAATAATGTACTTGAAAGGTAAATAGAGAATTATGCAAAAACTTTTATTGTATAATACAAAAAGTACTTTCATAGTTTTAATGATCAGATAGACTTGTAAGTAGTAGATAAATAAAAATGAGACAAAAATAACTTTTCTTATTAAATATTCATCAAAGACCAAGAGATGCCAATGTAAGAAATTTCAACAAAGGATTTAAATAGTACAGAAGCATTGATAATTTGTTAGTATACTGTATAGTGATAGTGATAAATGGGGAACAGATTAGAACCTAATTTATGAACTGTTAATGAATATTAAGACTAATTATTTTGTTGATCATGATCACCCTATTTTTCTTGCTTTTGTGGCAACAAAGCTTCACCTTTCGGTTCATTTTATACTCTGTGCATCCTTGAAATTGTTTTATCATACTCAGGTGACCGTTAAGGCCCTTGGGCCTCTTGTTTTGTTTAGGTTTGTTTAATTTATTTTGTTTTGCTTTCGAAATTGTTCTTCATTTTATACTGATAATTTTTCCCCGCTTGATTTATTCATCTATTAACTAATTAATCTGTTGTATTTCCGAGATCTTAACTCTTGGTATGTAATATGATCTTGCAGTTCTTTTAAAGAAGCCTCAAGAAGGCTTACCTTTTTACTTTGGGGTTGTATAACCTCTGTGTTTAGCGTTTCTAAATTAGTTAATCGGTCATCTTGGTTTTGAAGCGCTGTTTTCATATCAGTTATCTCCTCCTTAATAACGATCAGCGTTTCCTCAACTTTTTTGTCAAGCGCAGTAAGCCTCTCGTTCATTGAACTCTCCAACGCCAATGAATCCTTAACTTTCTTAACTTTACATAAATTATAATTAACACACAAAGATTATCGAAAACATTGATAAAGGATAAAGAATACATTCTCCAGAACGCTTAATGTTGTATGAAATTTTCAAGATGTAGCTAGAGATCAAACATGCACGGATCTAGAGGGGGTGGGGGGTCCGGACCCCTCCCCCCCCCCCCCCCGAATTTGCAGAGTTTTTAAATGTACAAACTGAAGCAAATAAAAAATGACCCCCCCCCCCGAAACGTTGACCCCACCACCTTTACCACAAAATAGTTTTTTTTTCACGTTTGGGAATGGAATTTTTTTTTTTTAATTTTGCTTGTCAGGAAATTTTCTGGGTTTGATACGCCATGGAAAGGAGTTAAGTTGTTGTTTGTTTGTTTGATTTTTGTTATGAAATTTTTGGGTAAGAAATTTTTTGACTGGGGTCCCCCCCCCCCGAAAAAAAAATCCTGGATCCGCGCCTGTCAGAACTCAGAATGTCTTCCAGAATACTTTATTAACTCGGAAAGATAAATCTCTCCTCTTAGCTTTAGCTGAATTAACCTACATCCGGTATACACTATTTTTCTCTCCTTTATTACGAAAACATACAATATTTTTATAAGATTATCCCCTGCTCTTTGGTTCTGCTTCTGTTGGGGTCTCGAATAGGACTCGTGTACACCTGGATATCTTTGGCCTTTAGTCTCAGCACGTAGACAACAATTTAGAATATGCAGAAATGCTATCAAACGGAGGTACTATTAACTTCTACTAATACCTTCTCTTTCCAATAATAGACACCTAATATTAATGTACATAACTACAATTTACAAAATTAGTCCTGAAGCATCTAGTCTATAACGTAATGGTCATGACATAAGTTTTTTTTTTAAATCGATTTTCAAGGAGCAAAAGTTAAATAAAATTTACGACGCAAAATATTTCCCAATTTTTTACGTCGTTATATTTTTTGGTCAAATTGTAGACATGAAAATTTCTAACTACAAAAAACAACTTTCATTTTTATCAATTTTTTTAACTTTAACCTTTTGAACGGTTGGTGCTAGGGTTTTCATACTTCACATATGTAGTTGTCATACGGGGGCATCAGTGTTTCACAAACACATCTTGTTCTAGTTATATGAGGTCTGTTCTCGTAATTAGGAAATAATTTTCTCGTAATTACGAGATCTTTCTCGTAATAACTAGTGGGACGAGATTTTTTTTACCTGATATACTAAAAGGTTTTTCGTATCTATCAAATCAGGCCCGAGGGAAGCAATTTCATGTTGGGGGTTGCAACCAAACACAAATTCCTTGAGAAGCAAAAAAAGTTCATCAGACGTTATTTCAGACGTTATTATTGACTATTGAGGGGCGCAATTAGCTTCACTATCTGTTGTAAAGTACATACTGGCAAAATTATTGAGCCATCCCCCAACATCCGCTTCTTATCGACCTGCATAAAAATATCAAAATAATCGAAACAACTTTTAAAAAGTAAAATTTTATAAATTGCAGCAAAGTAAATGTTGTATTCCCTGAAGTAAATGATGTATTTTCTATATATAAATATAAATATGAACTAAAAAAGAATCACCGGGAAAATACTAGTACATGGATTTGCAAGTACAAGTAATTTTAAAAACACTATAAACTTGAGCAATGAGATAAGATAGATTGGGGTTTTCTCTTTTTCATAAAGCTAGCGTGATTGAACTTTTTAAGGGGGAGGGGGGTATAATAGAGATTTTTATAAATTGTATAAAATTTATTAAATAAAATTAAATAGAAGTCTGTATGTGAAAGTTTGGAGAACTTGGGATGATAGATGTGAACCCTTACTTTATTAAATGTATCCAAGCACGGATGTTTAACTTCCATTAATCAAACCTTATATTGCTTCTCTGTATTTGTACATTGATTTTCACACTGTTGTTAGATGCGTCAGAATGAGGCACCTCCTTCCTACGAAGAGGCAACGTCCAGCAATCCATTTATGGTTCCGCAAATCCAGGGCTACACTCCAGTTTCTTGTGGGTTTAATGGATCCACGATAGGTTCAACAGGAGAACCGCCACCTTACTCAGTGAATTTCGAGGATCTACATGGAGGAGGATTCACTTATAGACAGTATCCGTCATATCCTGCCGATTATCCTTCCAATTATCCTGCCAATCACTATCCACCTCCTCCAGGTTATCCAGTTGTCAGTCTTACAGGATCTTATCAGGGTAGAGTTTGAAACGATAATAAATAAGTCTTTTTCAAAACATATAAATTTTTAGAAGTCGTCAAAATTGCCTAAAGAGTAAAAGAGAGAAGGTATGAAATATTAAGGTTATTATTATTATTATTTTTTTTTAGCTTTTAAGGTATTTTCTCTTAGTTAATCATGTTATTGTATCAACGTATTCTCATTCTATGGCAGGTCAGATAAATGACAGAGATTGCAGACAAGATAGAATCATAGGTTCACTTTATCAAGAGGACCCAGCTATAGAGGTAAGCATTACATCAGGCATAACTTGAATTGGCATTTTGAGTTGAATTACTTGTCATATACTAGTATTCTTTGCTTTCATGGGGTAGTTTATCAGATTGGATTATTTTTGTCAGTGAATCTCTATGTTTCTTACATGTTTTTCTACTAACAATTTAAAATGTTTTCAATGAGATTTCTTCATCAGTATAAACTTCCTAAACATTAACAATAAGTTTCGTGTTTGTTTTATATTCAGAAACAAATGAAAAGAAGGAAGATAATCTGTATGCTACTGGTTGTATTCGCTGTACTTCTGGCAATATTTGCGATAACCAAAGGGATTCTGGAATAAACATTCGAGAAATACAAGTTAAAAAACAAAAGTGATTGAAAAATTAAATTAAAAAGGATTACATAAAAGTATAACAAGTTGTTTATATATCTGAAAATTTTGTAGATTTTTGAAATACGTTCACACTCAAAGGCTGTGTGGTAGTTTTCCTTTATTGCAGTACATGTACCTTGAACGGTATTATACATACTGAATCTGTGTGAATAATCGGAGTTTAATTAAATACTAGTGTACAAATACTTTTGATCTATTCATAATATGTACTATAAAATATTGTATATATAAGATTCAGATGTAATCTGATAGAAATGATATTTCATTTGTTTGTTAGTTATAATTTTTACTTTGTTTTTAATTATCCATTTGTTCACATGTTACGATTGTTTAAAAGCCCTGTGAGTTAATTTTTGTCCTCTTGCAATATTCTTGCCATGTATGTAAGAGCATATATTTTAATGATATATTTTTTTTTACCATACCATAAACTATGCATGTTTAACCTTTTGCCAGTGGTATTTTCTCTTTTTTAATGTGTTGTTTTCATTCCAAATGACTTTCGTGCTTTATTATGCTATTAATTTAATCTGATTTACATAATTTTATATTATTCATTTTTGTAATATGTCGGCGCCAGGAAGAATCCGAAGAAAATATTACTGATATCTTTTACAGAAATGAAATGTAGATTGTATTAGATTTTATTTTTATTTACCTGAATGTACAGGATTGTTTAATATCCTTATGAAGAAGGCATTTAATTACTAGTATTTCGACTTCCAGAGTACATTTGTATTTATATGTGTTGTTTATTTTTGAATTACATACCCCCAGACATTGAACAAAAGAGAAATGGATGTGCAATAAAAAGATTTTGTTCGATTTATTTCTACCTAATAATTCAGGACATACTTATTCACTGTCAAAACTGTTGCGCACAGATCATTTGGGAACATCCGCAACATTTATAGTCTGTGTGCTTAATTTTGTGAGTCACAATTAAGAGCAACTCTTTGCTGAATTAGGTCTCCCCTTTTAGGAAGACTTGCCTTACCTTGATTTATTGTTCTTTTTTCAAATAAACGTGTCATGCATGGTCATTGTGTATCACAGAAAAAACCCACACAAATTCATGACCTCCTCTAAGTAAAAAGTCACACTTTTACTTCATTATTCCGGGGGGGGGGGGGGGGGGGGCTTGCATTGGCTAAAACAGAACTTTTCAGTACATGATAATGATCTTAAGAAATGACTGTTACCATGTAATGAAGTGTTAGGTGCCTTCATGTCCTCAAATCACCATGTCCTTTGAATTTATACGATAGGATTTATGCAGACGTTTTTGAATACATTCTGCTTCATAAGAATACAAAACAGTTCTGCTAATAACGGAACACAATTGGTACCCATGGGAATTCCAACAAATTGTTGGAAGACCTGGTCTCCAAAAACCACATAGGTATTGTCAATCAGAAACTCAAGCATCTTTTTAATATCAACTTAAGAGTACTTGTATGTACATTCAGAATGTTTTTTAAACAAAATAATTTTGTACACGACCAATGACAAGGTAAGTAAATTTACGAGTTCCATTTTTTAAAAAAAGGTCAATGATGTCAAAAAGTCTTGACTTTAATATATGGTGGGGAATGGTTGTATATAGGGATGAAAAGTCGAAAGTTTTGATGTTTTTGATTTTAGTAAAATTTTGGGATTACAAAACTTCCAGAAGTTCCTTGGAATGTTTAAGTATTCTGATATTCTTTTATTAAGTGAACCCTTGGTTTCACCAATATAAATAAGTCCACAAAGATTATATTCTATTCTATAGACAACATTAGTATGGAACGCCAAATATTTAAACATGTGTCTTCAATTAATTGTACCTATGTTCGAATCAATTGTACCTATCTTCAAATCAGTTGTATTTCTCTCTAAAAGAATTAAAGATAGGGATTAGGTTTAATTCAATTATACCTATCTTTAATTTATTTGAAGATAGGTACAATTGATTTGAAGATATGTCAAATGCCATGGATTAAGATAGGTATAATTGATTTAAAGATAGGTGTAATTGAATTGAAACTATCTTTAATTAGTAAAGAACTGAAAATAACAACTACTCCCAATAAAAATGCAGTTTCCTCCATGTTCAAGTAGCTGTTAGAGGGAGCTTTCGTTATTCTCATTTCGTAAGTTCTATGGTCGATACAATGACCTTGTCAGCAAATACAATTTATTATTAAGTCAAATGCTGACTGAGGTTTTTTCTACTAATTGTTAGGCCATTATATACACTGAATTGACGACGGATTTTTACGTTATTTCCCGGTCATGACAAGGAGCACACTGCGGGTGTAACGGGTCGGCAGGGGATGCTCACTCCTCCATGGCACCTGATCCCACCTCTGATGTTTTAAAGGTCCGTTTTTGCTCTGCTCCAAAATTTGTACTGTTTAATGGACCTTTGAGCTTGAATACTGTTCGTTATCTCCATACATTTCATTTCAATAACAGAAAACGAATTGAACCTAGGTATATTTGAATTGTACCTATCTTCAAATCCTTTGTGGATTTGTTTCAATTGTATCTATCTTCAAATCAATTAGCGAAATGATGGCTTTAAACGGCTACAGGAAAATTGACGATAGAGAAGTTTAAGTCTCCACAAGTATAATGAGGTTTTGTTCTTAAGTTACCATTAACGTCTTTTTCTAGTAAAATATCCAAATATGAAACAGATGTGGCAGACTGTGGTAAATTTTATTTCAAGCTCACTGAGATATATAGAGTCTATGTATGAATGGAAGTAATTTTTGTTAATTGATCATTTGTCGTAGATATATCTTAATGTCGAGATGAAAGCCACAGCAACATTTCGTTAATTCTATAGTCATTATTATGACCTTACTAGCAAATATAACCTCTCATGGGTCGCATTTTGGCTGACTTGTTTCATACCAGTTGTTAAGCCTTTAATTATATGAAATGTTCCGTCTTCTTGGTAAATACAAAGGGCTCACGGCGGGTGCGAACCGGTCAACAGGGGATACTTACTCCTCCTAGGTACCTGATCCCATCTCTGGAATTTCCAGGGGTCCGTGTTTATGCCCTGTTCAAATATCTGTATTGTTTGTAGTTTTTATGAGATCGATCACTGTTCGTTATCTTCATCCTTTTTCATTCTCATGCATAATTTTTAAATAAATTCTGCTTCATATGAATACAAAAATAGGTGTCTGCTAATAACGGGGCGCAATAAGTACCCATAGGAGTTCCGACAGAGATGTTGGAAGACCTGATCTCCACTACATACATATTGTCAATCAGAAACTCAAGAATCTTTTTAACTCTTTCAACTTCAGAATACTTGTGTTTACAATCAGAATGTTTTAACAAAATAATTTTGCAAATGACCAATACAAGGAAAGTAAATTTACTAGTTCCGTTTTTATTGAAAAAGCAGTCGTCTATGATGTCAAAAAGCCTGGACTTTAATTTATCGTGGGAAATCGCTGTATAAAATGTTAAAAGTCGCACTTTTTGATGTTATTGATTTTGGTAAAATTTTGCGATTTCAAATTTGATAGTTCCATGGAGTTTTTAAGTATCCACATCTTATTTACTTGTACATCACTTCTCAAGTATATTGCTGTACAGTACTCCTGAAGTTTCTCTTTCACAGCTGTTAATATTTAACCGTCTATATCTCTTTTTCTATTAATATCTTTCCCTTCCACAAATTTTCTTTTTAACTTTTGAAGAAAACAAAACTTAAATTCATTAGCACAAAATATATATTATGACCAGAGACCAGAAAATATTTAGAAATATTTCATTTTAAATGCACTTTAATCGTGTGCAACAATGCATGATACTTGAACATGATTGGTTATGTATCATATCATGTGATCACGATCACTTTCTTTGTATGGAAAGAGGGGTTAACATCTACTGAGAAAAATGTAAGTAAAACTTATCCTGATAGGTACTGCTAAATGCAAAACAAAACAAAATGAAAAAAGAAAATATCAATGTCACAACTACTTAGGGATTTTTTCTCTCCATTTTCTCGGTTTGAGGTTTCACATTCATTGTGGGGTTAAATTCATCATATATGGAAATACATCCCATTGTAGAAAAAAAAAAACTTTTGACATCAAGTGGACAAATTGTTTAAAGATTTTTTAGATCAATAGGTAGTTTCTAAAGCTATATTTGAATGATAAGCACTTGCCTGCTTGATGTTTACTTAAGGAAGAATGATTTGCAATTTCTAATGTCTTTTTCAGCACTTTCCTTAAAGAACTTTCCTTGTAGTTAATTACAATGCAAAACATGCAGTTAAACATGTTATTTACGTAACAAAGATAAAGGAGGGCTTCCAAAGATATTATTGTATGTTTTTTTCTTTTCAGTTTACCACCAACTTAGCTCTTCTTAGGACCTAAGCCATGCAAAAGGTTAAGGTTTTTAGATGGCAGGGACCCGTTTTACAAAAGAACTTACATGTACGACTAAGACTAAAATTTAATTCTGCTCATAACTTTTTAATTTACATTATATTAAAATGGTTTTAATCTTTTTAAAAGGGATGTAGTAAGATATTTTTACGCTAGCGATTTTAAACGGAATCATCAATTTTGCAAAATTTTACAATCAACTTAGTTTTTGGTCTTAGACTTAAGTTCTTTTGTAAAAAGGGGCCACTGGTTCAGTTTTAAACAAATTATCCTTTAAATCTTATATATATGGTCCTAATATAGCCCCGTTCACATGCGCCCATTTACACACGGTCAGCAAATTTTATATAAACAAAAATTGTGAATCCGGGTGTATTTTTCACGCAAACTTTTTTTTTATGTGAACGCATAGCAAAATTTACATACCTAAGAAAACCCTGGACTTTTCTACAAACATTAAAAAATTGCAACATGTCCTCGTGATCTTCGGATGTGCTTATAGGTTTAAATATTATTTTAAATAGCATTTGAATAAGAAATGGCTGGGAGATGGCGAACTGCATGGAACTGTAGCTCTCTGATTAAGAAAATTCGGACAGATAAAGCAGAGAACTATAGAGCCAAGCGCTTTAAAAATCTTCGATTTACGCCGCCGCTTTTTTGTCGCTCACTTCGGATATTATTTCTTGTATTTTACGCTTATGTGATGTTGTGGGCGTATGTGAACCGGGTAGAATTTCGAAAAAAAAATGAAGTTTTAATACAAATTTAATGTACAGAATGCTTTATCTGCATATAATATTTTATAACAATTGTAGGAATAACCCAGTGTGGTCATGGTGGTAAAAGAAAATTAAACAGCCCTTCGGTGTGTGAAAACATTCATTTTATGTATATATTTTATAACAATTGTAGGAATAACCCAGTGTGGTCATGGTGGTAAAAGAAAATTAAACAGCCCTTCGGTGTGTGAAAACATTCATTTTATGTATTATGTATTGTTCAAATTTTCTTGGAAAATTACATACCAGTATCTCATTTTTGTCATCCGGCAACACTGAGTCAGTAGTACGATATAGTTTGCGCACGGTAAATATTTGTGGTGTTATCAAGAGGCGGTTATATCCGACCTACTAAGTATTTTCTTTCCCATTTTACTACTAGTATTTTCACCCCTACAGCCTACAGTATACTACATACATACATACATATATACATACATATATATATATATATATATATATATATATATATATATATATATATAATTTTTGTATAAGTCTTCCTCTTGAACCCCGGTTAAAGCAAATATGCAATTTTTTTTTAATAAATATTCAACTGCATATTGATATTGAAGTTCATATGGTTTCTTCTGAAAAGTTTGAATTTTCTCAGTGACTTGGGTCCTAAATTCATTATGTCC